CCTCTGGTGCCTGCCTGCGGCCGACGGTGGGGCTGGCCGAGGGGGCAACCTGCCGCGCTGCCAACTGTGCCAGGCTCTGGGCTGTCCCGTAGCAGCGACAGAAACAGCCCCTTCCTCTGGACACGTAGAGTGTCTTTAACAAGCCACTGTAGCTCCCAAGTTTGTGCTCCCTGAGGTGTTACAGAAACAAAAAGGGTGGGGGGCGTTTGGTCTCCGGCTTGGCCACAGCCGTGGCAGTACCAGAGGAGGGTGGAGCGGGGACAGGGTCTTCCCTGTGGGTTGGCCACGTGGCACGGCCTCCCGTCTCCCAGAGATGCCCAGATGCTGGAGCACGTGTTGCAGGACCCAAGAGGCTTCAGAGCGGGTTTCTCCTTTGAAGGTTTGCGTGTAGTCATGACATCGCTTCGGCCCGTTTGCCCACATCTCCTGCATGCTGTGTCCCCCTCGCGCAGGTGCCTGGCTGGCTACTACGGAGACCCTGTCCTGGGATCAGGCGATCACTGCCGCCCTTGCCCTTGCCCCGATGGCCCCGAAAGTGGACGCCAGTTTGCCAGCAGCTGCTACCAGGATCCGGTGACGCTGCAAGTCATCTGCGTCTGTAACGCGGGATACGTAGGTACGGACTCCGTGCGTGGAGTTAGCTGGGTTTTAAGCCCTTGGTGGGAAGGGAATATAGATTTGCGTGGGTTGTCGGATGTGACCGGAGTACCAGCGCGAACGCCGTGCTGTTGGAGGTTGACGGAGCGCTTTGAGAGCGCGAGGTCCAGGCTTGCCCGGACGATGCCTGGCTCTCCACGAATGTTAGCGATGGCACCGCAGCTAGAGACGATGGGCGGGCAGGGCAGCAGGGGAGCCGAGGGGACAAGCTTGCGGTCGAGGCAGTGCTGGGCGGTTGTCCTGAATGAAGGCCTGCTCCTTCCTGAGTTGGGGTCTGAGCCTGCGAACGTGGTGCCCCAGGCTGCGCCCGTCCCTGGGCTCAGCCCAAGCCATTTATAGCTGCCGCAGTCTCTGGCTTTGAACGCGATCCAATTAACTTCCTCCCCGTTAACGGCCTCTGTTATCTCGTGGCAGTCTCGTTTAGCGAGCGGTGCGTTAACGAGCTGTCCTGGCGATTCGCCCCCCCCCGTTTGTTTGTTCAAGCAGGGAGTCGATGTGACGAATGCGCGTCTGGCTTCTTCGGCAGCCCGGACGAGGTCGGCGGCGCCTGCCAGCCCTG